ACAGCGACATGAGAGAGGTAAACAGGGACATGAGATAGATCAACAACGAAATGAGAGAGGGAAACTACGACATGAGAGTGGTAACCAGCGACATGAGAGAGGTAACCAGCGACATGAGAGAGGGAAATATCGACATGAGAGAGGTAACCAGTGATATGAGAGAGGTAAATAGTGACACCAGAGAGGTAAACAGCGACATGAGAGGGATAAACCGCGATATGAGAGTGGTAAACAGCGAGATGAGAGAGGTAAACAGCGACATGAGAGGGGTAAACTGTGACATGAGAGAGGTAACCAGCGACATGAGGGAGGTAAACAGCGACATGAGAGAGGAAAACAGGGACATGAAAGAGGTAAACAGCGACATGAGAGAGGTAAACAGTGACATGAGATAGGTAAAGAGCGACTTGAGAGAGGTAAACAGCGACATGAGAGTACCTACCAACGACATAAGTGAGGAAACCAGGGACATGAGAGAGGTAAACAGCGATATGAGAAAGGTAAACTGCGACATGAGAGAGGTAAACAGCGACATGAGAGAGGTAACCAGGGACATGAGATAGGTAAGCAGTGATATGAAAGAGGTCAACAGTGACTTAGAGAGGTAAACAGGGACATGAGAGAGGTAACCAGCAACATGAGAGAAGTAAACAGCGATACCAGAGGTAAACAGCAACATGAGGGGGATGAAGAGCGACATGAGAGAGGTTAGCAGCGACATGAGAAAGGTAAATAGCAACATAAGAGAGGTAACCAGCGACATGAGAGAGGTAAACAGCGACATTAAACAGGTAAACAGCGACATGAGAGAGGTAACTGGCGACATGAGAGAGGTAACCAGCGACATGAGAGAGGTTACCAAGGATTTGAGAGAGGTAAACAGCGACAAGACAGGGGTAAACAGCGACATGAGAGAGGAAACTGTTGGTTAGATTAGGCTTTAAGCAGGTGATTCAATGGCTCAGAAAATTTATGCAGCACCTCGTTATGACGCCCAGAAAAGCTATATCCAAACCTCCAATCGGTGCAACGATCGGATATGTTGCTGCGTGGTGCGTCAGATTTCTACTGAAAGTTGAATTACTCCATTCCGTAGCTTTACGAGTGAGCTATTGCGTTTGGCGCACTGGGGGGTAATCTGCCCTAGGAGAAATTGACAGTCCTCAGAGTCACTATAATTGAAGCTTACAAGTTCAGAGGCATGATAGAAAAGGCATTGAAGCACAGTTGGAAGGTAGGGATGGAAGGGAAGGATGAAAGGGAAGGACCCTGGAGGCCCATGGTCAAGAACATGACAAGAGTCAAAGTCTTGACTCCCCATCCTCAGGTTCAGCCAGGCTGGCAAGACAAAATTCACATTGTGCCAGGTTGGCCTCCAAACCCCAAATGCTGCAGCTGCAAGGTGGGGAAAAATGTCCCACACATGCTGGTCCCTCCTCGTTATAGATATAGCAGTTGACAAGGACTTCCAATGAGTTGTAACAAATCCGTCAAATATTTCTTCGTAACTTCTTCATATGTGCTCCGATTCCAACAATTCTTGGATCGTTGGAATGTGCTCGATGTCATGCACAATCCAAGCACATATGCACAAGCAGAAGATGAACATGCAAAGACATGCAAACCCAACAAACCATACAAACAATGTAGCACACAAAACACATGCAACGAAATGATGCGAACTAACGACAGGATAACGTGCAAACGAATATGCATCGTTGGCGGAAAATGGATCTTCCGACTCAAACAAGTCCCAGGCGAAGCTCCACTGTTCAAGGCATGATACGTGGCAAAGGGTTTGACCCAGAAGGAGTATCTCGACTTCTTCGAAACATTCTCGCCCACGGCCAAGCTCCCGACTGTGCGCGCTCTTCTTGATATAGCCGCTCGCGGCAACTTCGAGATCAAGTCCATGGACGCCTCCTCCGCCTTTCTCCAAGGCCAGCTCAAGGAGGATGTTCACATGGAACGCCCACCGGGGTTTCCTGGCACTTACCCTGTCAACACAGTATGGAAGCTGAAGCACCCAGTGTATGGCCTCAAGCAGGCTCCTCGTGAGTGGCACAACAAGGTGAAGGAAGTCCTCCTCGCACTTGACTTTCATCCCTCTGCCTCAGATTCCAGTCTTTTCGTTCGTCACTCCTCCGAATGTTCTAGTGGGTTGGGGTGTACTCACAAAATCCCAACCCCACCCAATTGTGATCCCCCCAATCTCCAATTACCCAATTGGAGATTCCAGAGATCCCAATGGGGATTCCCTCCGATTCCCTCTTCATCCATTCTCCTTTACCTTGCCATGTACTTATAGAGCCTTGGGCTCCTTACCTAATCAATCATTTCAGCTCTAATTCTTACAATCCATGTACACCAGTAGAAGCACAAGCGACTCGTCGCATGCACTCGCACGGAATCCAATCCCTTCCGGTGCACTGGCCAGCCTGTTGTACCAGCATCTCGGGGCCTGCTTCAAGCCATAGATGGCCTTGTTAGGTTTGCAGACACGACCGGTTCCATCCTCATAGCCAGGTGGTTGAACCATGTACACCTCCTCTTCCACAATGCCGTACAGAAAAACGGTTACGATGTCCATCTTCTTCATCTTCCATTTGCGCACAGCAGCTACCGTCAGCAGCACACGTAGCGTTGGAGACTTACCAATTGGGGCAAACACTTCTTTGTAATCTTCCTTCTCTTTCTGCTGAAACCCTTTTGCCACCAGCCTGCTCTTGTAAACTGATGGCTCTCCTTTCTCATCCGTCTTGAATTTTGCCAGCCAGTTGCACTGTATTGCCTTCTTCCCATTTAGCAAGTACACCAGGTCCGATGTGTGATACTCCATCTAGCTGTTGTACTCTGCATCTCTTGAAACGAGCCACTTCCCCCGTTGAGGCCCGGCTAGCGCATGATCCATGCTCGGAGGTTGTATTGGTGCGTAAAAGCAGCAGTATGCAGGCTCCTCGTCATCTGACTCTTGTGTAAGAAATAGACTTGAAATGATTGATTAGGTAAGGAGCCCAAGGCTCTATAAGTACATGGCAACGTGAGAGAGAATGGATGAAGGGGGAATTGGAGGGAATCCCCATTGGTATCTCCGGAACCTCCAATTGGGTAATTGGAGATTGTGGGGATCACAATTGGGTGAGGTTGGGATTTGTGAGTACACCCCAACCCACTAGAACATTCATAACCTAAACTAGGATATAAAAGTACAAATACAAAAATGGTATTTGCAGTCTATTTCTAACACACCCCCATAGACTGCAAACCCGGTCAAGGAGCACATAGCCCCATGGAACGGAGAAGGCGATGGTGGTCAGCCTTGCCGAGAGCCTTGGTAAAGAGGTCGGCGAGGTTGCAATCTGAGGCGATGTACCGTACCGTCAGCTGGTCACTCTGAACAAGATCTCGGATGAAGAAATGACGAAGTTCGATGTGCTTGGTGCGAGAGTGGAACACAGGATCCTTGGTGAGATGAATGGCACTCTGGTTGTCACACCACAGGGTGGGCGACTGCTGGGGGTAGCCTAACTCAGCGAGGAGAAAGGAGAGCCAGCGTGCCTCTTGAGCAGCCATTGTGCCCGCGTAGAGCTCGGCCTCGCAGGACGACAGGGAGACTGCAGAGGACCGAGTGGAGCGCCAGCTGATGACTCCGCTACCAAGGGTGAAGCAGTACCCTTGGGAGGAGCGTCTGTCAGTCTGGTCATCGGTGCATGAGGAGTCTGTGTATCCCTCGAGCTTGACTAGAGAGGTACCACCAAGAGTGAGGATGTAAGACTTGGTGGCTTGTAGATAGCGGAGGACCCTCTTGGCTGCAGACCAATGCAAGGCAGTGTAGCGTCCGGGGGAGACGTACGGAGAGAGGGCACTAACCGGGTAAGCCAAGTCTGGTCGAGTGCACATCATGGCATACATGAGTGAACCGACTACCTCAGGGTAGGGGTCCTTGTAGGCGTCAGGAGAAGGAACTGGAGGGGCCGTGAGCTGATGCTGTAGTGGGAGTGGAGTGGAGACAGAGTTACTGGAGTCCATGTCGAACCGCTTGAGAAGGTTGTCGATGTAGGACTCCTGGGAGAGCGTGATCGTGCAAGCCTGGCGGTCACGAGTGATCTCCATCCCCAGGTAGTTCTTGAGGTCACCAAGATTCTTCATGAGAACGGCGGAGCTGAGAGCAGACTGGACAGCTGCCATGTCGGCTGGATCTCTGGTGGCTAGAATGAAGTCGTCGACGTAGACGAGGATGTAGAAGGGCTCGGAGGAGTGACGAACGAAGAGACTGGAATCTGAGGCAGAGGGATGGAAGTCAAGTGCGAGGAGGACTTCCTTCACCTTGTTGTGCCACTCACGAGGAGCCTGCTTGAGGCCATACACTGGGCGCTTCAGCTTCCATACTGTGTTGACAGGGTAAGTGCCAGGAAACCCCGGTGGGCGTTCCATGTGAACATCCTCCTTGAGCTGGCCTTGGAGAAAGGCGGAGGAGGCGTCCATGGACTTGATCTCGAAGTTGCCGCGAGCGGCTATATCAAGAAGAGCGCGCACAGTCGGGAGCTTGGCCGTGGGCGAGAATGTTTCGAAGAAGTCGAGATACTCCTTCTGGGTGAAACCCTTCCCCACGCTTCCGCCCCATCCCCTTCCGACGCTCATCTCTTTGCCGTCTCCTCCATCGCCGCTGCTAGACTCCTAGCCGCCGCCTCTCTTTCCCTTCACAACTAGTTTTCTGTTGGGTGGATTTTCAAACATCCCCAGTGCGCCAAACGCCATAGCTCTCTCGCTAGTTGACAGAATTGAGTGATTCGACTTGCAAAAGAACGCTCTTGGTGTCAGCGACTACGTCGTAAAATTGCAGACTGATTCACCGTTTAGATTGTTGGATATCGCTTTCCGAAGTTCGCGCACTTTCCTGAATATGATCACGAAGTGGTACTGAAATTTCCACCAAGTCCTACTTTCATCAGCTAACTGCCATCTTTCCCCATCAGCTAACTGCCATCAGCTAGTAGCAGCAGCAGCAGAAGGAGCAGCAGACGCAGCAGCAGCAGCATGAGCAGCAGCAGCAGCAGCATCAGCAGCAGCAGCAGCAGCAGCAGCAGCAGCAGCAGCAGCAGCAGCAGCAGCAGCAGCAGCAGCAGCAGCAGCAGCAGCAGCAGCAGCAGCAGCAGTGGGAGCAGCAGCAGTAGCTACAGTCATCCCCATCCTCCCCTCCTCTTTGAGCCGCCGTGGGTCCACCCGCCGCCGCTCCCTCCCAGCCACCGCGGGTCCACCCGCTGTCGCCTTCCTCCCACTCCGTGTCACCAATGGCATCCTTTCCCCCTCCTGTCGACGTTCCGACCCTCGATCATTTGGTGGGCGCTGCCGACAACTCAGCAACCAACTGGTATTCCTTCGTCGGCAGTGCATATGTCCTGCCATTCCGCCTCCTGGACATCATGCTTGGTCTCCCAGAGGGTGACCTTGGGGACCCGCCGCCTCACCCTGGCGATCCCCCCCCTCTCATTCCCCATCCCGGCGAGGAACCTCTGCCCCCCGTGGTACCCGTTGGCACCAGCACTCGCGCTGCCACCGCTGAGGTTGAGCAGCTCTTCGTTACTCAGCGTCGTGAGTTCCTCGTGCTCCATACTGATTACCTGATCGCTTTGGAGGAACACGAGCGGTCGGCCACCCTCCGCAACCAGCATGCCGCTACCGCCGCTGCTTATGCCGCTGACTCTGCGCGATTTGCCGAGCGTCGTCGCGCTTGGCTCGAGGCGGAAAGCCGTGCTACTGGTGCCCTTCTCCTTGCCATCCCGCCTGCGCTCATGCGCAACTTCCAGGCACGTCGCATCGGCTCCCGCCAGATCTGGCTCGAGCTTGAGGCGATGTTCGAACGCACCGACTTCGACGCTGTCGGACCGCTCCTCAAGGAATACTTCAGCATCACGATCGAAAATAGTGCTGGCGCCGTTGACTACACCAGCCGTCTCCTGGACCTTGCCTCCCGCCTAGAGGCTCGCCAGACTACTCTCCCCTCCAACCTCCAGATCTATCGTCTCCTCGAAGGCCTCTCCCCTCAGTATGAAGTGCGCGTCATCGCCTTCACCGAGGCTCAGCCCCGTGCCTCCCTTGACACTGTGGTCCAGTGGATCATTGACGCTGAGGCCCGCCTTCTCTCAACCCCCCCCTCCGGCTTGAACTCCACCGAGTCCCCAAACCCCCAGCTTGCTGTTGCACAGCCGCGTCGTGGAGGGCGCCCACGTGGCGGCCGCACCAACCCTCAGGGAGGGGGTGGAGGTGGCGGTTGTGGGGGCAACGGAGCCAGCGGCGGTGGTTGCGGGGTCGAGGGTGGCAGCAGTGGTGGTGGTGGTGGCAGTGGTGGCTCATCTGGTAGCCGTGGTGGCCGCCCTGGCACTCTCCCCCCATGTTCCTATCTTCGCCGTTTTGGTCCCAGGGCGGGTGAGCGCTGCACCCAAACCAACCATCCCCCAACGACCTGCTTCAAAGCGTATGATGACGCCTGGTTCGAGCGCGGCAACACTGGCACACCCCCACGCTGGTCTGCCATGGATCCCCGCCCCTCTCTCCAGGATGTCAAAACTCTTCCGTCTTTCCTCCCCTCTCATCTTCAGCTCGCTTCCTCTTCCTCCTCTATCGCTGACCCCATAATTCCCCAGGAGCTGCAGCAGTTTCGCCGCTTCCAGCAGCTACAGCAGTTTCGCCGCTTCCAGCAGCTGCAGCTGCACCAGCAGCTACAGCTGCCGCAGCAGTGGGGCTCTGGTGGTGAGGCTGCAGCCGCAGCTGCAGGAGCCGCAGCCGCAGCATCTGCATGGCAGCAGCAGCAGCTTGGCTTTGGCACCGCCACCATGGCTGCCACAGCCACAACAGGTCCTCCTGGCTTTCCCCTTTGGGGCTCTCCTTCCCCTAGTGCTCCCACCTCCCACTCCAGCTTTCTAGGCGAGCTCATGCGTTCTTCCCCTGCTTCCCCTTCTATGTATCCCTCTGTTTTTAATGCCAGTGATTTCCAGTACCCCATGTCTTCAGCTCCCTCCTCGCCCACGATAGACTTTGTTCTCGATAGTGGTGCCACTAAAACTGCCCTCAAAGACGCCGGCACCCTCACCTCCCTCCCTTTCCCCACCAACGTTGATGGCGCTGATTCCAGCTTCTCCATCCCTTGCACTCATCTCTCCACCCTCCCCTGCCCCCCTTCCCCTCCGGAGTGGTCACTGGTCTCCACATTCCCTCCCTTCGTCATAACCTGCTCTCCATCCGTGAACTCCAACAGGCTGGCATCACTACCCTCTTCCCCGCCTCTGCCACCTACTGTGACCTCCTCCACGGCCCCACTCGCCGCCTCCTTCATCGCCTCCCACTTTGTCCTCGCTCTCGTCAGTACATCCTCAGCACACCGCGCCCCTCCTCATGCCACGTGACCACTCGTGCAGGCACCTCCACTCTCCCCCCTCCCCTCCCTCTAGAGCCACCTTCCTCCAACTCCACCTCCTCCCCATGCTCTTGTCGCGCACTGTCCCACCCCGCTGTTCTCATCCACCACCGCCTTGGTCATATGAACTTTCCCACACTTCGTAAAGCCGTCTCCTCCCGCTTGCTTGACGGTCTTCCCCCCACTCTTCCTCCCCTCCCGTCCTCTTCCGCTCCCCCATGCGCCACATGCATTCATGGAAAGCTCAAACAACAGCCTCACCTCAGTCATCCTTCCTTTGCTGCTGCCCCCCTTGACCTCGTCCACATGGACCTCTGGGGCCCTAACCCTTCCCCTTCCCGCCAAGGGCACTGGTACATGCTTGTCCTAGACGACGACCACAGCAGGTACTCCTCGGTGTTCCTCCTCCACACGAAGGACGAGGCCCCTGCTGTCATCGTTACCTGGGCCGAGCAGTGCCGAGTCCACTTTGGTCGCCCCATCCGCCGCCTCCATTCCGACGGCGGTGGTGAGTTTCTCAACCGCACCCTCTCCTCCTACTGCTCAACCCATGGCATCCAGCAGACTCATACCCTTCCCCACTCCCCTCAGCAGAACGGTGTTGCTGAGAGTCGCATTCGTGAGATCACCAAGACGGCCCGCTGCCTCCTCACTCATGCCTCCACGCCCCTTCTCTTTGGGGCTATGCCCTTGTCCATGCTGCTCTCCTTACTAATCTTTACCCACATCCTCAACGCCAGTCTGTCACTCCCACTGAGCTCTGGGCTAGCACCAAGCCAGATGCTGCCATTCTTCGTATCTGGGGTTGCAAGGCATATGTCCTCATCCCCCCACCTGACCGCTCTCGGCAGGCAGGAAAGCTCGCCTCCAAGGCCATTGAGTGTGTCTACCTTGGCCACGCTCGCTCTGTCCCTGGTTACCTCTTCCTTCACCCGTCCTCAGGCCGCCTCCTACAGAGCCGTGACGTGGTGTTCGATGAGAGCATCCCGTTCTATCATTCTGTTCCGCCTTCCGACCCACTTCCTCCTCTCTCCGCCCCCTCACCTGGGCTGATGCTGTCATTCCCCCACTCCTTCCCCAGGCTCCCTCCTTCCTCCAAATCCTGCTCCTCCCCCTCCTCCTTCCTCAGGTGACATTTACGACCCAGCTGTCCCTGACTCCCCTGCTCACTCTGCCTCATCGCACCAGCACCAGCAGCAGCAGCAGCAGCAGCAGCAGCAGCAGCAGCAGCAGCAGCAGCAGCAGCAGCAGCAGCAAGCAGCAGCAGCAGCAGCAGCAGCAGCAGCAGCAGCAGCAGCAGCAGCAGCAGCAGCAGCAGCAGCAGCAGCAGCAGCAGCAGCAGCAGCAGCAGCAGCAGCAGCAGCAGCAGCAGGAGGTGCAGCAGCGGATGGAGCAGCAGCAGCAGCAGCAGCAGCAGCAGCAACCGCAGGCAGTGCAGCAACAGCAGCCGCAGCAGGAGGTGCCAGCAGCAGCACCAGCAGCAGCCACAGCAGCAGCCGCAGCAGCAGCAGCAGCAGCAGCCACTGCAGCAACCTCATCGGCATCGCCGCACCATCTCTCCGTTCATCCTCCCACGCATCCACACTCGCTCTGACGGCCCACTCATAGGCCATCCATGGGGTTGGCCAACACCACCCCCACCCTCCCTTCCCTTCATCGAGGACTCCCATGAGGAGCTCATTGGCGTTCAGCAACAAACACCTTCCCTCACGCCTCTCTACCCGGGCTTCCTTGGCCTCCTTTTCCTTGGCATCGCTACCGCTCCCACCAGATTCACTCCGTCCAACTTCCTTGAGGCCATCACCTGCCCCGATGCTGCCAAGTGGATCCAGGCTATCTTTGCTGAATGCGAGGCCTTCATCCGCAATGCCTCATTCGTTAACATTGTCCCCTCTCCTGACGAGGTCATTGTTGAAGGCCTGTGGGTGTTCCGAGTGAAGCAGCTGCCGGGTGAGGAGCCGGTCTACAAGGCCCGGTATTGTGCAAGGGCTTCACCCAAACCCATGGCATCGACTACTGGGAGACATTCTCTCCCACTGCCAAGCTCCCAACTCTCCGTGCCATCCTCGACTATGCTGTTCGCATTGGCATGGAGATTGCCTCGATGGATGTCTCCAACGCCTTCCTGCAAGGCGAGCTCCAGGAGCGGGTCCTCTTGCGGCGGCCTCCAGGCTTTCATGCAGCCTTCCCTGCCAACACAGTCTGGGAGCTGCGCCGCCCGGTTTATGGCCTCAAGCAGGCTCCTCGCGATTGGCACAACAAGCTGGCCGCCACTCTGCAGTCCTTGGGGTTCCATGCCTCTCAGTCTGATGCCAGCCTTTTCCTTCGCTCCTCTCCCACCCGCTTCTTCATCCTGGTGTATGTCGACGACATGATCCTGTTCGCTGACGATGCTGCCGCCATGCAGCAAGTGAAGGACGCCCTGCATGCTCGCCTCAAGTGCAAGGACCTGGGTGAGCTCAAGCACTATCTGGGCATGACCATCACCCGGGACCGCGCATCACGCACCATTACCCTCTCTCAGTCCTTCTACATCGACCAAGTCTTGCAGCCGGTTCGACATGGCGCAGGCCAAGCCGGTTACCACTCCCCTGCAGACTGACCACCAGCTTGCCCCTCCTCCTGCTCCCTCCTCCTCTGACCATCCTTACGCTGAGCTCGTCGGTTCGCTGATGTACGCTATGATGTGCACCCGCCCCGACCTTGCCTACCCCATCAGTGTTCTTGCTCGCTTCGTCGGTACCGGTCGTCACACTGATGAGCACTGGGCTGCAGCGAAGCGGGTACTCCGCTACCTCCGTGGTACCAAGGACTATGTCCTCACCCTCGGAGGCTCTTCTCCTCCCCTCCTCTCTGGCTTCAGTGACTCCTCCTGGGCTGACTCCCAGCCGGATCGCCGCTCCTCTCAAGGCTACGGCTTCACCCTTGGCAGCGGCCTCATCAGCTGGCGCTCCACTCGCTCCTCCTCCATCGCCCTCTCATCCTGCGAGGCTGAGCTCTATGCTTGCACCATGGCCGCTCAGGAGGCTCGCTGGCTCACCTTCCTCCTTGCTGAGATCGGTGCTCCTCAGCGCTGTCCCACCCTCTGGTGCGACAACGCCAGCACCATCCATCTCACAAAGGACCCTGTCTTCCATGGCCGCTCCAAGCACATTGCACTCCGCTACTTCTTCGTTCGGGAGTTGGTCCAGCAAGGTCACTTGTGGTCCGCAAGATCGCTGCAGAGGCCAACTTGGCCGACATCTTCACCAAGGCCCTCCCGAAGACCGCGCAGTCTGCCCTTCTCCGCCTTCTCAGCCTTGGGCCCCGCCCCCCTTCCTGATTCTGGGGTTGTCCATTATATATACACTAGCTTTGCATGCTATGGGGTTGTGTTAGAATATACCATCCTATGCTAGTTGTGTATATTGTGTTTACATCCCTAGTTGGGTGTACACCTGTGTTGGGGTATCAATCCAACCCAATTGTGGTTGGAGCCCCCAAACACAAGGACCACAATTGTGGGGGCACCACAAGTGGGTTGGCTAAAACACTGGTGGTACACCATACTTGGACCACCTCCAACTGGTGGTCAACCACATTTGGAAGGATCCTCCCTCCCTTCTGATTGGTCCTAACCCCCTTTTCCCTTCCAACCTTCCCTTCCTCGCTCATCCCTCTCTTCCTATGTAATGCCTTTGCTTCATCAATAAACTGAACCTTTCTGTTTCTAACAGTCTCATGTCGCTCTTTACCGCTCTCATGTCCCTGTTTACCTCTTATATGTCGCTGGTAACTCTCTCATGTCGCTCTTCACTCTTACATGTCGCTGGTTACCTCTCTCATGTCGCAGTTTACCTCTCTCATGTCGCTGGTTACCTCTCTCATCTCGCTGGTTACCTCTCTCATGTCGCTGGTTACCTCTCTTTTATCGCTGGCTACCTCTCTGATGTCGCTGTTTACCTCTCTAATGTCGCTGTTTCCTCTCTCATGTCGCTGCTTACCTGTCTCATGTAGCTGTTTACCTCTCTCATGTCGCTGGTTACCTCTCTCATATCGTCCTTTGCCTTTCTAACATCGCTGTTTACCTTTCTCAAATCGCTGTATCCCTCTCTCATGTCGCTGGGTTACCTCTCTCATGTCGCTGTTTACCCTCTCATGTCGCTAAATTACTTCTTTCATGTCGCTGGTTACCTCTCTCATGTCGCTGGTTACCTCTCTCCTGTCACTGGTTACCTATCTCATGTCACTGGTTACCTCTGTCGTGTCGCTGTTTCCCTCTCACATGTCTTCAGTTACCACTCTCATATCGCTGGTTACCACTCTTATGTCGCTGGTTACCTCTCTTCTGTCGCTGGTTACCTCTCTCATGTCGCTGGTACCTCTCTCATGGCGCGGTTTTCCTCTCTCATATCCGTGCTTACCTCTCTTATGTCGATTGTTTCCTCTCTCATGTCGCTGGTTACCTCTCTCATTTTTGCTGTTAATCTCTATCATGTCGTTGTTTACCTCTCTGACGTCGCTGTTTACCTCTCCCGTGTCGTTGTTTGCCTCTCTTTATATCGCTGGTTACCTCTCTTATGTTGCTGATTGCCTCTCTCATGGCGTTTCTTACCTCGCTCATCTTGCTGGTTACCTCATGTTGCAGGTTACCTCTCTTCTGTCGCTGGTTACCTCATGTCGCTGGTTTACCTCTCTCATGTCGCTGTATACCTCTCTGATGTCGCTGGTTACCTCACTTATGTCGCTAATTACTTCGTTCAAGTCGCTGGTTACCACTCTCTTGTCGCTGGTTACCTCTCTCATGTGGGCTAGTAACCTCTCTCATGTCGCAGTTTACCTATCTCGTGTCGCTGTTTACCTCTTTCATATCCCTGGTTACGTCTCTCATGTCGCTGGTTACCTCTCTTATGTCGCTAGTTGCCCCTCTCATGTCGTTGCTTACCTCTCTCATGTCGCTGGTAACTTCTCTCATGTCGCTGGTTACCTCTATTTTGTCGCTGGATACCTCTCTCATGTTGCTGTTAACCTCTCTCATGTCGCTGGTAACCTCTGTCATTTCTCTGGTTACCTCTCTCATGTCGCTGGTCACCACTCTCATGTCGCTGGTTACCTCTATCATGTTGCTGGGTACCCCTCTCATGTCCTTGTTTGCTTCTCTCACGTCGCTGTTTACCTCTCTCATGTCGTTGTTTACCTCTCTCATCTCGCTGCTTACCTCTCTCATGTCGCTGTTACCTCTCTCATGATACTGGTTACCGCTCTCATGTCGCTGGTTACCTCTCACATGTTGGCTGGTTACCTCTCTCATGTCGCTGCTTACCTCTCTCATGTCGCTGGTTACCTCTCTCATAACACTGGTTACCTCTCTCATGTCGCTGGTTACCTCTCACATGTTGCTGGTTACCTCTCTGATGTCGCTGGTTACTTGTCACATATCTCTGTTTAGCTCACTTAAGTCGCAGTTTACCTCTCTCATGTCGCTAGTTACCTCTCTAATGTCGCTGCTTACCTGTCTCATGATGCTGTTTACCTCTCTCAAATCGCTGGTTACCTCTTTCATGTCGCTGGTTTCCTCTCTCATGTCGCTGGTTAGCTGTCTCATGTCACTGTTTACCTCTCTCATGTAACTGGTCACCTCTCTGATGTCGCTGGTTACCTTTCTCATGTCGCTGTTAACCTCTCTCATGTCGCTGGTTACTTGTCTCATATCTCTGTTTAACTCTCTCAAGTCGCCGTTTTCCTCTCTCATGTCGCTGGTTACCTCTGTCATGTCGCTGGTTACCTATCTCATGTCGCTGTTTTCCTCTCTCTTGTTGCTGTTTACCTCTCTGAATTCCCTGTTTACCTCTCTCATGTCGCTGTTTACCTCTCTCATGTCTCTGTTTACCTCTCTCATGTCGCTGTTTACCTGTCTCATTTCGCTGTTACCTCTCTTATGACATTGTTTACCTGTCTCATGTTGCTGGTTACCTCTCTCATGTCGCTGGTTGCCTCTCTTATGTCGTTGTTTACCACTCCCATTTTCGTTGGTTACCTCTCTCATGTCGCTTGTTGCCTCTCTCATGTCGCTCTATACCTCTCTCATGTCGCTTTTTGCCACTCTCATGTCGCTGGTTTCCTTTCTCATATCGCTGGTTGCCTCTCTCATCTCGCTGGTTGCTTGTCTCATATCTCTGTTTACACTATATGCAGGCCAATCTTGGGATACAAAAAAAAGCTTCACATTTGATGAAACTACTATCGTTAACAGTAAAAAGCAGATATAACCAATGACTGTGCATGTGAACAATTAGTTCCAGGCGGAAGCAGCAACTTGAACAACCCTTAAACTAGTACCTGGTCCACCGCCCTTTAGCCCTAATCACTGCTTTCACCCTCCTGGGCATGCTGTTGATCGAATTGGAGCACACCTCTGATGGGATCTTCTCCCACTCCTCTTGTATACGCTCCCACAGGTCCACCATACCATTAGGAGGTGTCTCATGCTTACCCAGCTCCCTTTCAAGATGAGCCCAAAGATGCTCAATGGGGTTCAGATCAGGAATTCCTGCCGGCCACTCTAGGACCCCATACTCCTGC